TTTTTTTTTTTTTTGAATAAAAAAAAGAGTTTTATTCCAATAACTCGTTATAGTAAAAATGTGTGGAAATCGATAGAAAATTAAAAAAACTGAAATGAAGTGAAGTGAAGTGAAGTGAAGTAAAGTCAAGTCAAGTCAAGTAAAGTAAAGAGAAGTGAAGTGAAGTAAGGTGAAGTTAAGAAATTAATTAAAGTTAAATGAAGGGATGTAAAATGAAGTAAAGTTAAGTGAAGTGCGGTTAAACAAACCGGGTGAACTAGAAGTGCAGTGAACTAAAATTGATTGAAATGAAGCGATTTAATGTCAAGTTTGACTGAAATAAAGTTAAACTGAAACGAAAAATTTAAGCCATCTAAATGTACCTCAATGGTCCAGCAATATTTATGTCGATGATGACCAAATGGTTCATTCCGCATAATAGTCTCCAATTCGTGTGGCAAATGAGCAAAAAGTTTTGAATCCCGAAAGTCTACAGTGTGATCATGCATTTTTTTAATTATTTTTTTTAAACATTAGGGTCGCTACCAGGTTTTGAAAAAATATTTTTTCTTAACTCGTAAAAATTAGACAAAATTGTCTCTTTGATCTGTTATAAATAACTGCGGAAAATTTGCGCAAAATATGGAGCCTAGAAATATGTACCACATAACTATAAGCAAAGTGTATGTATAAATTTGTATACATTTTGTTTATACAAATTTATACGCTTTAGCAGCGAGTTTATAAATTTACACATATTATTAATTTTTAATAGTATATTCAATTTATCAGGTTTCAAGACCACATTTTGTCGAACTTTTGCGAATTAAAAAAAAGTTTTGAGCTGTGGTAACGACCCCTAAATATTTTTTTTTTTAATTTGGAACTTTCGTGGGTGTTCTTATTTTCTTCGTTTTAAGGATCACCCTATTACATAAGCTAAATATTTTTCATGAAAATTACCTGGCAGAAAGTCCACGGGTAGAAGGCATTCCATGTATTTGCATTTTTCACGTGGATCCGTGCCATATGTTGTTGTTGCCAGACTGGTGGTATAGAGTATCAAAAGTTGAAAACCCAAACAAGTACCCCACACAGGCAGATGAATACCCTCCTTGTACTTTTCTTTTGCTATGCGTATTATCATATCCACGGCCCGAACACAATTGTTAGTCAATTCTAAGCGAGCAGGATCATGTTCGTTGACAAAAACTGCGCCACCAGGTAATAGAATGCTGTACGTGCATCGAAAGAACATACATATTTTAGTATATATGTATATCAGAATGGATATTAACCGGATATCTGAATTTTCGAATTTAAAAATTATATTTGATAACTTTGAGAACACTTTTACGAATCCATTCAAATGCCGATAAGAACGTCCGGATATCTGGTTATGAAAATAGAAAGGATTTTAACCGCTCAAGACGGCTTAAGACCAAGTAGTCTTCAGAGTCTATTTTTTTATTTATTTAGTTTATTTTAACTAAATTCAGCAATTTAGATTTGCCACAGTTAGCCTAGTAGTTGCGGCCGGGCCTATAATGTCCCAAACAACAAGGTGGAACAACCTCTAATGTCGCTAAAGGAAGTTTTGGCTGAGGCTGGGCTCAGAAAGACCAACATCGTGATTGCTACCGAGCGAGAATTCGCGACATCCTACTATTAATGGGATAGCGAGTACTACCACGCGGTAGGACCAGGGATCGATCTCAGACAAAAGCAGCATTCAAATTACAAAAAAAAGTTTTTTCTAACAGCGGTGGCCCCTCGACAGGCTGTGGCCAACCTCAAAGGGTATTTCTGCCTTGAAAAACAGCTTCTCATAAAAATACAATCGCCATTCGGAATCGGCGTAAAATTGCATGTCGCTCTATTTGTGTTATAACTTTAGGCCGCAAGCGTCAAAATATTATTACTAAGTACATATAACAGAGGAAATGCGGTTCGCTTTGTATCTGTCACCAGGGACGAAGTTACCCACCTCACCCTGATTTGCTGTGTATTCTATTGCCACACGTCTCGGACTGGATGACAACTTCGTTCGAAGCCAAATGTACGTAGAGAGAGGCACAAACCGAAGTTTCCTGCAAGAATCTCTACACAGTTCTGCCACTGCCACCTCAAGGGAATTCGTCTCTATTGGAAAACTCAGTGGATGAGGTTTTCGATGATTTTTTTTTTCTTTTCAGGTGTTTTGGCCACCACTGTATACATACATAGGTTCTATATAACAAGTTTTATATATTATTTTGATTTTCTCGAAAATATGATCTTCGGTTCAGACGACCATATATGCTTCACTATACTGAAGCCAAATGCGACTTAAGCTGTGTTATGGCTTGTAACTACAGATTTTATTTAACTATTTATTAATTTGCAACTTACCCATTTATCCTGCTCAGCATATAATTATAATACTCAGGGCCTTTGTTGATCCTTGGTAAACGAAGCCATTAAAACAAATTTCATAATTCATAACACCGTGTGACAATCAGTTTTACACACAAAAAATATTTGCGAAACTAGGGGCCAAAAATAGTAATAGTAAAAATTAAGGCTTTTAGTTTTTCTCTGCCTCAAAAAGGACTTTGAAACTTTAAAGATGTGATTAACTCAAAAAAATTATTTTAAAAACTAAGAACAATGTAGAATAACAATATGGATTTCAAATAAAAGAGAAAATTTTGTAGAACTACAAAGGTGTAATTTTTTTGGTGGATAAGTACAAATGGGTATTAAATAAGTTATTTTAAAATCGTTATATTAAATATCCTTGAAAATTTGCAATATTTATTTTTGAAAAATTTTCGTAATAACGACTAACATAAATTTTTTTTTTTTTTTGTAGTTTGAAAGTCCTTGTAAAAAACGCCGACTTCAGAGAGCATTTTTTTTGTTTTTTTTTGGTTTTTGTCGCACAGTGTAATGCATAA